ACATTAATTTTTTAAAGTAAATGAATCGTGTATTTCAAACAGGGGTCAAACTAGGATTTTTTTTCAAATTTCACTATTTATATTTTTTGCATTATTACATACTCGTTAGTCTTTTAGCAAATAGAAAAACTTTATCGAGGTATTTTTAGCTTGAACAAAAAGTATCCCTTTAGAAATTAATTTTGAAAAGGGATTAACTCTGTGCGGGTTTTTAAACATGAAGTTGTCTTTTCACTTGCTTAACGTTAATTTATAACCTACGAGATTATTATTTTGAAAGTACAATTCTAAAGTAATTTAATATCATAAGTTCAAGCAGCTCAGACAATGAGAAATAATAATAAAAATAATATTTCTTTATACTAAAACGCTTAATTAATGACCTATATTATTAAAACGATTAAATTTGTTCCATAAATTTCGAAAAGGGTTCAATTCTGACAACTATAATATCAATTTTCTCCAATCTACTCTCATTTAGGACAGTTATTTTAACATTTGTTCATGTAACATAAGAGCTATGTGATTATTAAAAAGAGTTTGATCCTTTTTAATTAAAGCTATTCTTATCCCGATTAATTCACTTTTGGATTTGCTTTTTAGCTAAAGAAACTTTAGGTACTCCTAACTCTGGATGCCATTTACTCTCTAAATATTTTTCAGTTTTTTTAAACTTTGTAGTTTGCTCTAAACGGGAAAATTCGCAGAAAATTCTGGGGAAATATTTTAACACTAAAATGGATTAAAATAACCTGCAACTCTTTAATCCATCAAGGGTTAAAAAATCCATCAAAAGATTATTTTTTCAAAATATTGTAGAAATGATTTAGTTTTGATTAAGACACATTTTTTTCATTGAAAAAATGAAATCAGAAATTATTTTAATCTTTTTGGATTTGGCAACTCTTTTTAATAATTCTTGGTTAAAAAAGATGCTGTACACTTTAAAATTTTCAAAATATGTCTAGAATTTTTTTAAGTTTTATTATAATAATATTATTATAATAACAATTAGCTCTAAAGTTAATTTAAAAACAAATCTGCTTCTTTTTTGAACGTTATATCAATACTTTATGCACTAAAAAAAAAGTTATCATATTTTATAAAAACTATTTTGCAATTTTTAGAGACAATATGACAAAAAGCAAAATTTTTATTATAAAAAATTCTAAATTCTAGGTATTTTTAGGTTTTTCACAGGTCAGGAAAGTTAGGGAAAAGTCAAGTATTTTTATTGAAAGTACTGGAAAAAATTAATTTTTTAGAATTGATAAGAAAATTCTGAATTTTGGCGTCTTTTTTCATAAACTATGAAATTATCACGAATTCTAACACGAAACCATCAATTTTTTCTATTCCTGTCAATAATTTCTTTTTAAATAATTTAATTCTTGAAGAATTATTATAAAATTATTATTTGTAAATTATTTAATGCATAATTTTACTTAAATATTTTAAAACTAATTCAATTTTAAAAGACTTACGTTTACAATTTTCATAAATAAATGAACTTCAATTATGTTCAAAAATTGAAGAAAATTCTCGTCAAAATTTCAATTATCTTGATAAATAATAATAATTCCTCTGCGAAATTCAATTATTTTCAAATATTTTAATCAAATTCTTGTCAAAATTTCAATTATTTTCAAAAAATGTATATTTTAATAAAATTTTCTAAACAAATTCAAAAATTTTAAACATTTTTTGATAAAATTTTACGCATACATTTCATTATGTTCATAAATAATAAAAATTTTAAACCAATTTAATTATTTACAAATTTTTCATAAATTTCTTCCTAATAATCCCATTATTTTCAAAATAATTACATTTTTTGCAGAAATTTAATTATTTTCACAAATAATAAAACTTATTGCTGAATTTCAATTATTTGTAATACAATTTTAATCAAATTTCTTGAAAAATGTAAACATTCTTAAAAAATTCATTAAAATTCGTCGAATTTAAATTATTTAAAAATTTGTTGATAACATTCTTTATAAAAAATCAATTTTAAGAAACATTCAATTATTTAATAAATGATTTATTTTTATATTTAAATAATTCAATTCTTGTAGAATTCTTTAATAAAAATTGATTTAAAAATGAATTTCATGTTAAATTTTAGATAATAATTGAATATTAGGTAATAGCATTATAGCATGAATTTTTAGAAACAATTGAATTTTGAAAAGATTTTAAAATTAAAATTTCTTTTTAAAATATTTAAAGTTTTTTTTTCTAATGTATAATATATTTAATTGAAGAATTGACAACACTGAAAAAATTACAATTCTAAATTTAAGAAAAATCTATACTTAAATATTCGCCCACTTAATGTAAGTGGGGAATATTCTTGGCGCATATATTTAAGTAGATTTTCTTAAATTAAGAATGTATTTTTTTCAGTGAAATAATCGAAATTTCGTAAAATTGAATTGTAAACAAATGGATTCGAAAAATCTGAAAGAACTTTTTCAAAAATTATTAAAGATAATAATTTATTTAAAGAAGAAAATTAGTTAAAAATTCTAGAAAATATAATAATTAAATTGAAATGTTAAAAATAATTTTGAAAAACACTTACGCAGTAACAATATTCTTATAATATAAAATAATAATTGAAATAATCGAGTGTTTGACTCGAAGTGATCGATATCTGGGTAGTTCTACAAACGAAGGACGAAAATGAAGAAAATTTTGGCACAATATTTTTTTACGTTCAGGTTTTAAAAAGTAGCCAGTCAAAAAAATAAAAATTGTAAATTTTACATCTTAAGCACATGTGAATTCCGTCAGAAAGTGCCAGGAAACTGAGAACCAGGAAACTGAGAATTTGGTCATTTTTCGTCTAAAAAATTGAAAAATAACGCTTAATAACAAAATAAAGCATACTGGTCAACAGGGAATAAGGTTCTACGACACCTCGAGCAACAAAAGTATAAAAACATAAAATATTTTTTTTTAAAATACGTGCCAGGAAACTGAGAATTTGTCTGACCAAATGGCCATTTCGGTCACAAAGTATGAACAAAAAGTTTTGAACGTTCAAATGAACGAAATATTTTTTGTTAAAAATATTTTCATAGATTATTGATTACAATTCAAATTAAAAACTCAAATTTTACAGTTAGAAACATTATAATTAATTTGTTTAATAGTGACGCAAAATTATAGTAATAAAAATTTAATTTGAAGAAGAAATAAATAAATTTCGTTCATTTGAACGTTCAAAACTTTAACCTCCTCACAAAGTACACAATTTTAGTTAATTGATCTGCAAGTTAAATAAGATGCAAGCGATATCATATTTAGTTAACCTTTACTAAGCACTGTGAAAAATGGTGAATTAATCGGAATGAAAATTCTTAATATTTTTAACGTTTTTTATGATGCCAGGAAACTGAGAATTAATTCGATGGACAAAATTCAAGATAATATCTTTTAAATAAAATATCCAGTAATGTAACAATTATTTTAATCTTTGTAAAGTACAACTATTTGAAATTATTATCCAAGTGTAAATTTTCATTTAATCGCTTAAAAATAATATTTATATAATTTATTAACTTTCATTTTCACATTGGGACATGCCAGGAAACTGAGAATTTAGCACTTGAATGCTTATTTTTTGCAAAAAATATTTTTTGAAACCGGGTAACGTTTTGTGGCATAATAGTAATCATTAAGCACTACAGTTTCCATTGAAAATAATTTTATTTTTTTCAAAATTAATGTAAAAAACAACCTTGGACATAATATATTCCCTCGTTTGTAGAACTACCCATCTTTATGTTTTATGATATATATTCTTATAATTTATTGAATATCAAAAGGTTTAAAGTTGAAAGTTTTTAAAATCTTAATTCCTTTAGAAAAACAAGAAATAAATTAAATATAATTATTTAAAAAAAAAACTATATTGATGTTTTCGGATAATTTTACAATTAAAGAAATTCGTAAATAAAGGTAATAGAACTTTTTTTTGAGTATCTAATAATTTTTAGAGTGTATCAGAATATTCTTTAGCATTAGGGAAAAAGTCACAATTTATCTGGAAATCAGGAAAAAGTCAGGGAAAAACAAAATTAAATTTTTGTAGAACCCTGATCTTTTCATGGCTGTAAAAAATTTAAGAAGTATATAGCAACGGAGTACGGAGTATAAATTTTCGAGTTAAAAATCTACTTTAAAAGTGGGTTAAACAGGAGAGTGAAATAAAAAGAGTTGATCATTAACTTCCTTGGGAGTTATTTCTCAGTTACATTTAGTGAAATAGTTATAATTGAGAAGTAAAATTTTAACTCTAACTCCAAAAAAATGCGACTTTTATATATAATCCCATTAGGAGTTACAAGTGTTACTCTTTTTTCTATAGGGTCAGCTGATCATATTATGTCTCTGAAGTTCTGAACATTCAAATGAACGAATATAAATTTGTTTATTTCTTCTTCAAATTTTATTGGAATAGTATTGCGTCAACTGTTAAAAAATTAAATTATAATGAAGATTCTAAGTAATTAATTTTGTTTGTGCTTTTTATAGCAATCAGTAATTTTTGAAAATATTTATATTGGCAAAAAGTTTCATTCATTTGAACGTTGAGAACTTGTGGATTATATCGCATTTTGTACCGGAATATATAATAGTTAACTTGGAAGCTTTAATGCTTCTCAATTTATAGTCAGACATTAAATTATGATTTATCAATCACAGTAATTCTAACATAATTTACAGAAGGTAGAAATTAGATTTAAAATTTCACTTTAATTTTCTGAAATTTGACCTAAAAAGCCTGAAAGAGAACTAAAATTTCAATTTTGTGCTCTAATTAATAGAAATATGTGGGAATATATATTTATTATGTTTATTAAAATAGACAAAGAAGATGGAATTTTGGAACAATTCAATTAAAGAAAGGACAGTATAAATTTTAATCTGGTATAATACTCCTATGATGATTTTATTACGTCCATTCCTAGACTGCACGTACACATGCACACAATGATATTGTAACAGAGTATATGTATATCGTGTACCCTCAATCGAGTTTGTGCTGCTGGAGGACTGGAAATGGAAATGTAGTGGGAGTGGGAAAGAAACTAGACTTTCAGTGCACAGTGCAGGCTAGTACAGTACCGACTGTGTTGTCGTTCGCTCGCCTCATCCTTGGTACGCAGTGTGTTCCATTTATATATCGGTTCTTCGCGCGTGCTCCAGTGGGTGGGAAATTCATGAGTGCATGTGTCTTCTTTGTCAGAAAAAGAAAATTTATCCGCCAAAACTCTTTCGCTAAAGAGTGGCGCGGGCGAGTCCACCTGTTAACATGTATAAAAGTATATAATGTCGATAGTTTGAAATATTGTGAGTAAGAAGTGTGTGTGCTATGATCAGCGACGTCACTACCGCGTGCAGTTAGTTCTCTCTTCTCTTTCTCTTCGCAAAGTTCTCAAGTTGTTCAGCTGGAGTTTTGCTTTGGCTTCAGCCAGTGTCAGTGTGCGTTTCTCCATTGCATCCTCCAGAGAGTGTGTCTTCGAACATCCATATCATACAGTGAGTGTATGCGAGTGTGTATATTGCAACCCCCTCAACGAGAGATGGACCCGCTATCTTGACACACGAGAGCACTGCCTCAATTCTCTCGCCACTGTCACATATACTAGTAGGTTAAATGTTTGGATCTCTTCTATTATATAGAAATTAGACGCTCCATGTTTTATAGTCGAGCAGTGTGTTCGACTTCTTTAATGCGTGTCATGCACTCGAGGATTGTAATAAGTACCGTGTGCTTATAACTTGCGGAGGAAAACAAAAAGCCACTCTTGGAATGTCATTGAAATCCTACCGCAAAGTCCTGGAAAAGGGCAGGGAATGAGGTTAATCAGAGATCTTCATGATACTTGAGGGGTGACATGTCATAAAAGTATAAAACCCATTTGGAATCAAGTTGAAGGTTGTTGCGTTTAAAGGACGAGAAAATGCTGTTCTTTCAAGGTGTCTTTTTATTGAAGGCAGCATTTTTTCCCTTTAGGTTGCAACTAGTTGAACATAGTATTAATTAGCCATTAGTTTTTGATGCACTGAAACTACTATTAATTGACACTATTAACAACTGTCGGACTTTTTAACTACTCTGGCAACTTTTATTAGGATTTAAAGTGATGCCATCATAATTGCTAACTATGTTGATTTGCAATTATTTAGAAATATCTCAACCATTAGTCTGATGAAACTTTCATTAATGACACAACCCTTAAACTTTGATCATTAAACCTCAAGTTATATCTCTATAACCATGTCATTATTAGGAAATAGATATCACATTTATTGCACTGAAACTATTAGGTATACTGCTATATTTAAATTTATAATTGAGAGTTATTTATATGCACCAAAATCGTAACTGTCTTTTGGAAATCTTAAATCATTATAACACTTTTTCAAAACAAGTATAGTATTCTTATTAAGTGCACTAAAAATTGAATATATTTATAATACAAACTAGCATTGAATAGTTTGAAAATTCTGCTTATTACAAATGTAATAGTCACTTACATCTTTATGCTACTGTTGTTTAAAATACTACGTTACAAAGTTTTAAACAAGTATTTCAAATAACCGTCAATTTAAAACTAATATAAAAGTAAGATAAGTCCTGCATAAGACCATTAAATATCTGATCAAGATCACTTTAATCCAACTTTGATCGTCTCGATAAGTATTCGGTATAATAAAAAGCATATCACTTTAATGTTAAAAAATGCCTGGTAATTTCTTATTCAAAGCATGAAAGCACTACAAGTGATCACAGTAAAAAGAAAATCTTATTTTAAGGCACGAAAGCTGCCTTAAATTAAGATGCAACATTTTTAAGACAGTCAATGTTGAATTTACGCACGTTTTTCGTATTCTTTAACATTATAGCAGACAGTGTTGAATTTAAGGCAGCTCTTAAATTAAGATTTACTTTTTACTGTGATACGCTATTTAAATTGAACCCAACTTTTTTTGTGTACAGAATAATACTTCAGTTCTCTTATTATTTTTTGGAACAGTAAAAAGAGTCCTCGGATTTCAACCATTTTTCATGCTAAATTTATGATCTTTAAAGCAGTAAATCCCACAAAGACAATGACAGACTTGACTCAAAATTAGGATGCACGTGCAGATTTTGTTTTTACTATAATGATTAGAAACGTGTTCAGAATCAATTTCTTCTTGCGCGATAATTGAAACACCCTTTTAATATGTTGTATTAGTATAGGAAATTGACGATATTGGCAGTATTTAACCGTTTATGAAAATTATTGGTTTTTTATTAGGATTGAAATCTTGGTTTGATATTCGATTAAACGTTAAATAGTATAACTGATTCAATTAGAAGTATCTTACAGTTTTATTTACAATAATATTGTATTATGAAAGGCAAATAAAGTTGAAATATTATGATACAAAAGTTTGGAACGTTCAAATGAACGAAATTTTTTTTTATTCATATTTTCAAATTTTCTATTGGAAACTTCTTAAACCAATGCCAGAATACAAAATCCATTGAAAAAACAAAAATTTTTAAACAACAGGGGTGACTCTTAGAACTTTAATGTTAATTTTTTGACCACTTTTCTCTTAAAATATTAAATAAATTAAGCTAGTTTTTTGTGAAAAACTCTAAAATATAATAAGAAAGAGCACTGTAGTACATAATTTTTGATAATTAAAAATTAATTATTATAAATCACTTTGAAATTAACAGTTGTACCGGTCATTCTTAACATCACATTTCTTAAAATTTAAAAAGTATTTTATAATATTACATTTTTTAATTATTAAAATTTTAGCACCACAGTCCCTTTCCTCATTATGTTTTAGAGTTATTCACAAAAAACTAGCTTAATTTATTTAATATTTTAAGAGAAAAGTGGTCGAAAAACTAACATTGAAGTTCTGACAGTCACATATGCTGTTAATTACCCAGTTAAGTTAGAAAGATCAATTCTATATTCGATCTTGTTTCATATTATTAATAAGTAAATGTTTATTTATCTATTTATATATATATATATACTACTACAGGGTTGCTACAATGTCTCGAAACCTGATGAAAAACCTGGAAATGTCAGGGAATTTTATTTTGTATGGAAAAGTCAGGGAGAAATAAAAAAAACCACCTGGAAAATAATTTTCTGTTAAAATTATGTTGATTTTTGGCGAATTTTACCGAATTTTACCATGAAAAGGTATCCTTTGGTACCTTTTCTGTTAAGGAAATTGACTGTAAACAAGAGACTATTAATAGAAGAGGTTAATCTAAATGATAAACAGTTAAAAGTTATATAAAAACTATAAGTTTTTATATTTTCGAGATTTAATTTTAAATCATGTTATAAACACAGACCAAAATAGTGTATGTTAAATACACACGTTTTTACATCGATCTCATATCGCAAATTAATAATTTTTAAAATACTATGATAAACAAAATATAATATACGTGTTGTTAAAAAAACATAAAATTTTTAAATATTATATTTTCGCCAACGAAAAAATGTTTAAAACTGAGTTATTGTTCTATAAATAAATAATATAACAATAAAATATGCTATGTTTTGATAAATTTTGTTTTTGAATTAATTACTTTTTATATAAATTCCACTTATAATGTGTATGGAAAAATATTATTTGAGATCTGGAAATCCTGGAAAAGTCAGGGAATTTCATTCGAGAAAAATTGTAGCAACCCTGAATACTAGTTCTTTGTAAAACTTATATTTGTCAGAAATTATTACATAAGTGTCATAAAAATAGTCATATATCTAATATCATCATCCGTAAAATTACTGCGATCTTAAAATAAGTATATTTGGAACAGTAACTTAATTTACTTTGAAAATGGGTTATGATACTTTTAAAAAGTTAAATTAAAGATAGAAGGGAAGTTACCTAGTTTTGAAGAAGTAAATGTGACTTGTTTACGTAGAGAAACTCGTTTGTACGAATGCTGCATTCAAAAATAGAAATAAGTAAAGGGTTGATTGAAAAAGTCATCCAATTAGATGAAATCCGAAGCTTTGTTTTATGCAGCGTCATTTTCGAATTTAAACTACGATAGGAAATCAATTTTCATCCTGAGAGAAGAAAGAAACCCCTTTATAGGAACATTCTTCTTGGATGAATAATTTCAAGTGATGATTTTTATAAAAAAATATGTCTCTGTTTAATAAAAATGTAGAGTAAAGGTTATTTAGAATTTATTAAAGAACAAATATTTGGTGTTTATTTTTAACTGCAATAGCTACTTTTCGATTATATATCATTCAATTAAGTTATATAGCGGATGGAATATGATAATGCTTTATTAAATAATATTCATTTATTAAAAAAATAAAAATTCATCATGTAGTCTCTTTTATTGCTTTCAAATATAAAAATAAGATTTTACATTTTTGTAAACTCATCTAATTTGCCTTGGAGTCCATGTTTGCTTACAAAGAAAGCAACGGAATAGTTTAAAATCTAAAGTTTAGCAGTAGATAACATCATCAGGTTCATTATGATGTTTTCTTAACTCGAGGGAAGATGTTTTTTGGTTTATTTAGAAAACAGAGTGTTAGAATTTAAGATTGATGTTATACTAAAACTTGTTCTATTTTCTTGTATAATATTAGTAAACCAATTAGTTTATAATGGAACATTAAAAAAATGAAGTCTATAATTTTTAAGAAAAGAAAACATTTAGAATTTGTAAAAATCAACCTGAACGAAATAGCATTTTCTTTCTGATAGAGAATTTGTTTTTTTAACAAAATAATAGGTATAAAATTTAAATAGTTGAAAATGTTACAAAATAGCCATTAATTGAAATTGACAACAATAAATTCACCTTTGTTTAAAATTAGAAATTCTTCAATTACAAAATTTGTATTAACATTTAAACTACAATTGTTTAGAAGTTACTGTAATTAATTAGAATAGCTATTTTTGTAATCATGCAGATTTACATTTGCTTACATTTAAAGCCTTTTGTTTCGAAATATTGCAAAACTGCGTCTCATAAAAAAGGTAACATATTCTTTATACATATAGCTTTTACCATATACAAAAAGAAAGAAAATTATCGCTTGAATTTGACTCATCCTGTTGCGATTAATTCACTTAGCGTTATACGATTTCAATAGAATTTCATCAGTCCTTTTGAAAACTTTGTTTGTCACGAAACAATTCGCACCTGACAACTTGCTATGACAGCTGCAGGTGCTATTTTACCTCTCTTTTAAGAACGTCTGGGTCGATTCTGCATTGCGTGCCTTATAACATTATCAGTAAAGAAAAGAAGAACAATAATTTAATGGAGGTAGAGGAAAGAAAAAAGGGTGTCACGAAAGAAAAATGTAACAAGATGAAGAAAAAGGTACACACAAAAAATAAATAAAGAAGAAGACAAGAAAGGGATGAGACAAAGAAAAGTTTGTCTACGACATTGAGCTCAAGGATGAAACTTGTTTTGGTTGCTTCTTCTCTGTAACCAGAAGAAGAAAAAAAACGTTAGTTATTCTGAACTGCATATCGGTGATACGCTGACACGCAAGAAAAACGAGTCACTAAGGATTTAATTCGAGTTCTGAAAGAAAAAGCACACTGAAGATGAAAGTAGAACAACAAGAT